ACCGTAGCGGTTGCCGCTGCCACCATCGACGACGAGGAGGAGCTTTCACCATATTCTCCATTGAGAAATCGCTTTGCTACGGTGTCGAATGATGGGTTACCGAAAGTGTACGCTTCTCCGGTGTCAGAATAGGCGAGGAATCCAACGTCGACGCCATAGCGAATGGAGAGCTCACTGAGCTCAGTGTAAATTTCAATCAAACACTTAGACAATATGAACGACCTATGTTCATCATTTTCGATTTTTTGTATGTTACGCTTTTGTTTCTTTTTGTTTTTGTTCCCTTTCATTTTTTTTTGAACAAAGAAGAATGTGTTTTTGTGTATGTGAAATTGCGGTTTTATAGATGAAATTAAAAAATGGTAATAATGATTGCATAAAAATTAGTCAATATTTTTTTTGGTAAAGAAAATTAGTCAATATTCAAAACAATGTTTTTGGAAGTTAACTTTGTTTTGAATATTGACTAATTATTTTTAATTTTTTTTTAACAAAAATATATTGACTAATTTTCATGCAATCATTGTGACCATTTTTTTATCTATAAAACCCCAATTTCACATACACCAAAACACATTATTATTTGTTCAAAAAAATAAAAGGGAACAAAATCAAAAGGAAAGAAAAGCGTAACATACAAAACATAGAAAATGATGAAGATAGGTTGGTCATATTGTCTAAGTGTTTGAATGAAATCTACACTGAGTTATGTACTAAAATTTACAGTTAGTTGTTCTGAGAAAAAAAAAATTATACTTAGTCAAATATGTAATCCATAATAATTTACGTACCTACTATAATAACGTAGAAAACAAAGATAAAATTTTCTCAATAAATTGAATTTAATTAAAATATAAAAGAAATTGGAAATTTGGATTACAACTTTCGTTATAATACGAAGCAATATATTGTGGGTCAAAATCTTGAAGTAGACATTTAAAAAAAATTTAATTCATAGATAGTATATAACATTAAATCTTGAGTCTTATAACATTATTATTTCGTCGATGCACAAAACATATATCAATCAACTTACCTACCCGATTGAGTTTTTTTAGACTGTGTCAAATTCATGATATACAAATTTATAAGTTCAACAAAAGAATAACAATAATTATGAGTTATATTTAAAACCTATAAAATAATTTGTAAATTAATTTGAAATATAAACTAAATTTTTTGAGATATACCTTTTTCTGTTAAAATGACATTATCAATCTAAAAACATTAGAAAACTAAAACAAAAATAATTTGATTGTTTGAGTTTTTACATAAATAATTTGACTAACTCAACTCTTGTCGCCGATTGTGAAAGTCAATGTGAATCAATAAGTATATGAAAATGTGAATCAATGTGAATCAATAACTCAACTCTTGTCCCCGATTGTGAAAGTCAATTGTTGCCGATTCGTTCTCTCAAAATTGATCTAGTCAACTCAGTGTTTAACTCAACTTAGAAAACTAAAAAAAAAAAATTTGATTGTTTGAGTTTAATCATTTTAAATCAAATCTATAATTAGTTCAATATATATCGAACTATTTACGTACTTCTATATATTAAAAGACATAATTTTCAAATTTCAAATAAGACTAAATGTAGTTTTTATACTATCAATAAAATTTAGGATATTTCTCATTCCATTTGCGTTTGAAGTTGTTTACTATAAGTAAATACATTATTGTAATATATAAAAAACATTAAAAATATAAACACATTTGACCCGAG